CCCTTGGTAGAGTGTCATGGTGTCACAGTTCACAGCAACCTCAAACTCTTGCCTTAGCCTCCCAAGTAGCTGGTGCCCACCACAATGCCCAGCTATTTTTTGTTGTTATTGTTATTGCAGTTGTCATTGTTGTTTGACTAGCCCAGGTTGGATTTGAACCAGCCAGCCTCGGTGCACGTGGCTGGTGTTGTAACCACTGTGCTGTGGGCGCTGAGCCTGAACTTTGATTGTATATAAAAACTCTGCTTTTGGTCCTCCTACCATTTTATGTTTTTGATGTCACAATTCACATCTTTTTATATTCATTATATATATTAATTATATTCATTAACAAATTATTATCGCTATAGTTATTTTTAATGCTCTTATTTAAAAAAAAATCCCATCATGTTTAAAGCCTCTTTGATGTCTCTTCAATTCCTGCCCCTCTTCTGAGCATTGGCACCACCCTGCCCTGGACTATAAGTTCATGGGAAGCAGAGACTAAGTCTCCTTTGTCTGTGCTTGGCCCACCGAGAGTGCTTGATCAAAGTTCATTCCTTCATCCTTGTTTTTTTGTCTTGGGAACGTTTCCTGCTTGGCTTCTGCTTTATGTTTTTGGCACAAATGATTAAGATTACAGGAACATCTCACTAGTTCACCTGCTCCTTTGTCTCCAGGAGGAAACTGGAGTTTGGAGAGCAGATGGCACAGCCAGGCTGTCAGCCCTGTGTTCTCTCCTCCTTACCCTGGGCAACCTCTGTCCCAGGCGGTGCTTTTGCTGCTCTTCTGCTTCTCGTCTTTGTGCTTTGGCTTCTGGCTTTTCTCCTTTTGCTCTTTCCATAGCTACCTTCTCCTCCAACCACCAGTGCTCTCCCCACCTCCTGCACTCTCTTTCCCCCTTTCTTCCTCTTCCTCTCTCCTCCTCTGCTTCTTTTCCCCACTGGTGTTCTTCAGCTGTTACTTCTACTTCTGCTTCTTTTTCCTCCTGTGTTTGCTTCTTCTGCTGCTGATTTTTCTTCCCCCTCTTCTTCCTCCTTCTTCTTCTGCCTGTTCTGCTACTTCTCTTACTTCTGTTGTGGCTTCAGCTTCTGCTTTTTCATTTTTGATTTCTGCCGTTGCCACTTTTTCTTGTGCCATGGCTTCTCCTTCTGTCGCTACTACTCTTTCTTCCCCTGGGCCCCCACCCTGTCTTTCCTTCTCTTCCTCCTCCTCCTTTCTCAGCTCTTCTCTCTCCCCTGTGTCTGTTTCTGTGTGTGCTGCTTCTGTTTCCCAAGCACCTACTTCTGCTATTTATGTTTCTGTGGCTCGTCCTTTTGCTTTTGCTTTTTTGCTCTGCTTCTGATTTTCCTGGGGCTTCTACTTCTTCCCCTTCTGCCTTTTCTTTCATGTCCACTTTTCTTTTCTGCTTCAGCAGCTGCTGCTGTTTCTTCACCTCCTTATCCATCTTCTCTGTCCCCTCCTCCTCCTCTTCCTTTTTCTCTTCCTCTTTCTCTTCCTCACTTTCAAACATGCTATGTTTAAGGAGCTTGTGTGATATCTGCTATACTCTCACTGGGCTTTCCAATGTTCCTTAAGAGCTGAAAACTTGAGATTTGCTTGTTGACCTTCAGAATAGTCTCTTTTGGGTGGCACCTGTGGCTCAAGGAGTAGGGCGCTGCCCCCATATACCGGAGATGGTGGGTTCAAACCTGGCCCTGGCCAAAAACTGCAAAAAAAGAAAAAAAAAAACCAAAACAGTCTCTTTTAGTAAGTGGCATATAATAACAATAACATCTCACAAAGGAGCAGCACTTTATAATTAATCCAGTATTTTAAAAGCCATTGTTTTATTTGCAGAATAGGGAAATTGAGGCTCAGAGGATTTTCCGTACTTTCTAAGGCCACACAGAAAGAAGCAGAGCTTATCTAAGAAGCTGGGGCCCCTTCACCATAGGGCCTTACTTTTTTTTTTAAATAGATTTTATTCTTTAGATTAGTTTTAGGTTTATAGCAAAATTGAGGAAAGTACATAAAGTCCCAATAGTACCTTACAGTTTTACAGAGCTTAAAAAATTCCTTTGCATCTATGATTTCACCTGTTCAAGAAACTCTTAGAGTGGATATCAGCCCAGAGAAGGGAGGGATTCATACATGGACACACAGCAAGATAGTGAAAACTGATTGAGGTGAAGGATTCCAGCTCCTTGTCCAAGGGCTCATAAAGGGTCAAAGCCATTCAGAAAAACAGTGAATCAGTGAGTGGTAGGCATGGACATTGGGCCAGCTTATCCTTACTATGTCACCAGTCCCACCCATTCAGGTCCTGGCATAAGAGAGTCACCCAGACCTGCTTCTCTTAGATTTTCCATCCTTAAGGAAAATTCTAGTGACCTAAATCCAGGGCAGAAAACCAATAAACACAGGATTTGCTTTTTAAGAAAAACTTAATTGATAGGCTGAAAGTGCCGTGAGGCCACAGGGCAATTAGAGTATGTTGGGCTCCAGCCCTGAGCAGATGCCTTCCTGGTAGGAATCCAGGTCCTAGGAATAGAAGCACCAGCCCTTCTGTGCCAGCCCTGGCAGGGCCTCACCAGGCAGCTGGTCTCCAGCCAGTTGTTCCCCATGCTGCCAAAACTGCACAGGCCCTGGAGGAATGGAAGTGGAATTTGGCACGATTCACATTCTTGTCTTCGGAGAGTGGGTGGGAGTAGCATCCTGGGAAGCAATAGGTTATCAACCAGCTCCATGAAGGCAGGTCTAGCCCAAATCAGCACCTAGCATATAACAGGTGCTCAAAAATATTTGTTTATTGACTGCCTAAAAGCTGAAGCCAGGACAGGGAGCATTAACCACTTTCTGAAATTTATAACTCCTGAATGTTTATGTTTATAGGGCTCTTATCTAAGTATCTGGTATTAGGTGGGGAATGGGAGGTAGTTGTTGGGAATAATAGGATAATGGCTTTCACTCCTTCTGAAAGGAGGCCCAGAGAATAAAGTGGATGGAAGTATAGATAGTTTAAAAGGGAATTAGCAACCTGGCTGGGTCTGGGGGCTTGTAGGAAGGGTGGAAAGATGATCCCAGAGAGTTTTCTTAGACAGGGAAGACAGCATGTGTATCTTAACTGCAGAAGGGCTCTTCAAAGTAATGTTGTTATGTGGCCATTCACCAAATATCTGTGCTCTCTTTTGGGTAAGTCCTTTGAAAAGAGTTCTTGGAAGGCATGATTTGCAGTCCAGGAGTACAAAGTGGTACAAAGTGCCACTGCCTCCCTGAAAAGAGCAGCCCACCCTAGAGGCTCCACTGGGATCACCTCTGCCTACAAATAAGGCCGTGCTGCCAGGCACACGGGTCAGCACTTGTAGTTTGGGGCAGGGAAAATGCCATGAC